CCCACACCCCAAAAAAAATTAAGTACTTGACGTGGCATGTCACACATTTCCACAAACCTCACTTGACGTGGCAGTGCCACATATTCTCACCCATCTTAGGTAACGTACTTGTGAAACTTAAGTTTGAAACCTATTTATTTATTATTTTAAATTTCTCGAGTGATAATACTATACTAAATTTGTAAATTTTATTTTCGACACCTGTATCTAATCATGCCATGTCCGACATACGACTTATGTCAAATGGGCCGAAAAATTTTGCTTTTTACTATTTCGTTTTAAAAAAAAACAAAACAAACAAATGACATATTTAAGGCATCTCATCGATGACGATGTTGTTTTTGTCAGATTTGAAAAAAAAAATTTAAAAATAAAAAAAAACAAAAAAAAAAACAAATATTACGTTTCTTACATTCCACATCTCCATTCCCACGATTCTTAATTATTGTTGTTTTTGTTTTTTTTTTTAATCCAGCAGCCATCGCCCTATAAATTATGTCCGAGACGTGTGGTCAGTCACTTGACAGAGAAATCAAACTTTTTAAATTTTGTTTTTGTCAAATTTAAAAAAAAAAATTTAAAAATAAAAAAAAACAAAAAAAAAAACAAATATTACGTTTCTTACATTCCACATCTCCATTCCCACGATTCTTAATTATTGTTGTTTTTGTTTTTTTTTTAAATCCAGCAGCCATCGCCCTATAAATTATGTCCGAGACGTGCGGTCAGTCACTTGACAGAGAAATCAAACTTTTGAAATTCAGATAACGACCTAATACAGAATGCACTTCACTCTCGTATTTCTGGTGGCTGCTGCTGTAGTTTACGGTAAGTTTTGGTGGCTGCTGCTGTAGTTTACGGTAAGTTTGGATGGCTGCTGCTGTAGTTTACGGTAAGTTTTGATGGCTGCTGCTGTAGTTTACGGTAAGTTTTGATGGCTGTTGCTGTAGTTTACGGTAAGTTTTGGTGGCTGCTGATGTAGTTTACGGTAAGTTTCGTTGGCTACTGCTGTAGTTTACGGAAAATTTTCGTGGCTGCTGCTGTAGTTTACGGTAAGTTTTGATAGCTACTGCTGTAGTTTATGGTAAGTTTTGATAGCTACTGCTGTAGTTTACGCTAAGTTTTGATAGCTGCTGCTGTATTTTATGGTGTAAGTTTTGAGAGCTACTTCTGTAGTTTACGGTACGTTTTGGTAGCTTCTGCTGTACTTTAAGGTACGTTTTGGTAGCTTCTTCTGTAGCTAGGTCTTAGGAGCTTTTTTGCGTGTGTGGTTTTTTTTTGGTCATGTGTTTCATGACAAGAGATCCTAACTCGAGTTAAAAATTATGCACATGGCACGCAATGCCATTTCCACATTCATAAAAGTATTTACGTCCACAACGAGATCACGTGATGCAATTCCTCGTTGAAATTTTCAGGGGCCAACGCCGCCATCTGCCCGACTTGTAGCAATGAAAATGACTACACAACATGTACTGGACAACAGAACTGCCAGGCTGGACATGACGTACGTTTTTTAAAATTATTATATTGTCTCTAACTTACTGAAAATAAATTTCTTTCCTTTTTTTTGGAAGTATTGTGTCTCTTCATGCAACTCACCATTTTCATTTAACTCCCCTTTTTTTTGAATATTTAGCATTGAGTTGCTGTTAAGGTTATGTTAAGAAGCTATATAAGCTTTTGTTTACCACTCGTTGATTTTAATCTGTCGGATAATTGCATTTATGTCTTTTTAGACCTGCGAAACAAGAATCGACTTGAGAGATAACAAAATTGACTACCACTGCTCGGAAGCCCAGGTAAGAAGCTTAGATAACTCATTGGTCAGTAGATTACACGGCTAATTGATCACTATCATGTATATACTAAACCAATATTAGCTTACTTTAAATGATGATGAGTAGAGCAGAACTCACAATAAATAATTTACACTTAAACATCTAACTGATCTCCAGCTTAGCCGACTAATTATAAAGTACCAGCTCCGTAATATCAATCAGAATCTAAGGCTACTGATGGGACAAAATTCTATTCAAGATTGTTTACTTGAAAATACATTGTTTGTGCATACCTAATAGTTTTAATAGTTGCATAAAATCCTATTTAAGATTGTTGCCTCCAAAATGCATTCATTGTTCATTATCAGTCAATACTATTTCAGAATGGTGACTATGTTCGAAATATTAACTGTTAGGCTTGCAGAATAAATGTATTTCCCAAGTCACTAGTAATTTCTCTTTTACATACTTGTCATTAGAATATCTCATCAGGGGATATATTAGATCCTGTCCGGTTTGGATCTGCACTGAAGTTCTTTATGTTTAATTTTCTGTTTCCATCTGCCACTAGAGCTGCACTCACCAGCAAACCCAGAACAGCTGTGACAACGCCGGCACCAACGGTCACTGTGTCATCTGCTGCAACAGCCTGGCCGACTGTAGGGCCAAACGTGACGACTACTTCATGTGTAAGCACGCTGCCACACTGTTTTGAGTTGACTTTGAGATTCGATAAGCTGTTGTCTGTCAGTGGTCTGTCAGTGGTCTGTCAGTGGTCTGCCAGTTTTCTGCCATTGGTCTGTCAGTGGTCTGCCAGTGTTCTGCCATTGGTCTGCCAGTGGTCTGTCAGTGGTCTGTCAGTTGCCTGTCTGTGGTCTGTTAGTGCTCTGTCAGTGGTCTATAATCTTGGCTACGGTATGAACATTTTTTTAAAGAGCAGCACGATGACATAATCATGATCATTAAATAATTTATTTTAAGAAATTTATGTGATTTTTTCATCAATTTACAATGAACCATTTTAAACATAATGTTAGCAATAATATCAAACAACAGCAACATAAGACCGGACAATACATCAGAGCCTTTATAATTTACATACTACTTTTGTTTGATGGTTATTTTTAATGTGTAATTATTTTTGTGTATCCCTAGTTGGTTAGTGTCCCGCAAGAACAATTACCAAGATGGCTGACTTTCTGAGTGTTCAACAAGAAAGTGCTATACTTTATTATATTTGATAAAATATGGTTTAAAATGGGATTAAAAAGATATAAAAAGAAATGTTTTTGCCTTATTTATGTTTTTTACACCAGTTCACGACATCAACACCAGAAACCACATCATAACGCATCGTCACGTCACATAGAACACCATGACAGAAGACACCAAAACACAAGACACCATGACGTAAGACACTAAAACAGAAGACACCGTGACAAAAGACACTAAATCACAAGGCACCTTGACAGAAGACCCTTAAACACAAGACACCTTGACAGAAGACACTAAAACAAAAGACACCATGGAAGAAGACACTAAAAACACAAGACACCATGACAAAGACACTTAAACACAAGACACCATGACATAAGACAATAAAACGCAAGGCACCATGACATAAGACAATAAAACACAAGGCACCATGACACAAGAATCCAAAACACAAGTCACCATGATATAAGACACTAAAACACAAGACACCATGACAGAAGAATCTAAAACACAAGACACCGTGACAAAAGACACTAAATCACAAGGCACCTTGACAGAAGACCCTTAAACACAAGACACCTTGACAGAAGACACTAAAACAAAAGACACCATGGAAGAAGACACTAAAAACACAAGACACCATGACAAAGACACTTAAACACAAGACACCATGACATAAGACAATAAAACGCAAGGCACCATGACATAAGACAATAAAACACAAGGCACCATGACATAAGACAATAAAACACAAGGCACCATGACAGAAGACACTAAAACACAAGACACCGTGACAGAAGACACTAAAACACAAGACACCATGACCGAAGACACTAAAACACAATACACCATGACACCATAAGACACAAATTTAGTGTAAAACCCGAACGCAAGCAAAACATCATTTATAAATAGAAGTAATTTTTTTTTAACCTTCACTTTCTTGCTGAACACGATTATTATTTGTTTCACCAACATGGCCACATCAAATCCATCGGAAGTTTGGTTCCTTTAATTTTTCCCCCTAAGGAGACTGTTTATTACACGTCTAACTTATCGTTAGATTAATGATATCAACTCTAAGGAAACAATATGTTTCATTTTCAATCCAGCCATATTTTAAGAAATTCGCGTTTATGTTTTAGAACAGTGGTTCTCAACCTTTCTAATGTTGCGACCTTTTAATACAGTTCGGCCTGTTGTGGCGACCCCCAAACACAAAGTTATTTTCTTTGATTCTTTATAACTGTAGGTCATATAAGTCTTCAGATTAGAGACCGACCGAATTTCGTCTTCGGCTTCGGTTTCGGCGCCGAAAGTGGCCATTTGATCACTTTCGACCAAGTTTCGGTTTCGGCCGAAACTGAAAAGTTAACTTTCGGCTTTATTTCGGTTTCGGCCGAAAGAGAAAAGTTAACTTTCGGTTTTTCTTCGGTTTCGGCCAAAATTGACTTAGACTTTCGGCCACCGGCCGAAAGTAACTCTAGTTTTTGGTCATTTAATACTCAGCGAAAGCGATATTTAACAACAAATTAAGCGTCATTTAAGAACAAATTAAGCGATCGTTGAGAACAAACTAAACGATATTTAACAACAAACTAAGGGACATTTAAGAGCAAACTAAACGATCTTTAAAACAAACTAAGCGATCTTTAAGAACAATCTAAGCGATCTTTAATAACAAACTAAACGATCTTAAAGAACAAACGAAACGATTTTTAAGACCGAAATAAATAATCTTTAAGAAAAAA